ATAATTATAAAAGTAACTAAAATGTAAAAATAGGGATCCTTTTAGGTTTGTTAAGATTAGTTTAGGTAAAACAAATAATAATAATATTATTATAATAAAAATGTTTCACAAGGCATACACGAGAGCTGCTCGTGGGTAATGTAATTGTTAGCATAACGTTAACTACACGCGCCACAAGCAATTTACAACTTATAATGGTGCGGATAGTAGTTAAACAAGGTTCAAAATAATAAAATTTAATTATAAATAGATGTATATTGTTATGAGCTATTAGAATAAACGAATGTAATTTCATGTTACAATTTGAAGTCATTCTAGAAAGAAAAAAAAGGATAATTTAGGTTTATTTTGATTTTTTTGGTGGTAACGAGGTCGGTCAAATTGACTGATTCTATTTTGAGATAGTTTATCTGTTATTTTCATTACCCTATAAAGTTTTACTGAAAAAAAAAAGTTTGACAATCATTTAGGAGGTTTTAGGGATTACACAAGGAAATTTGTGATTTTTGAATGAGGAAAAGTATTTTTAATTTTAACATGAAAATTATATTTCACACAGACTATTCAAAACAAATACTCAATATATTCATGGACAAATCTTTTTTATTTTATTAAAAATACTTCACTAAAAGTATGATTTTTTGTATGTGAAAGACTTATAATATTAACTGAAAGACTGCCAAATTTTGTGAAGATATACTTACTATATTGAAAGTTAGAAGAAACGCTCATTTGTACTCCATACAAAATTTTCGTGCAACTTGCCCACAATAGAAAGTTTAATAACAAAAACAGCATTATTAGCCAATCACAAACAAATGCAAACCTTTCTTAATGTTTTCAGCCCCTTTTGGTAGATTGTACCAACATTTCTATTGTACAAAGTACAATCCTTTTTAAAAAAATGGACCAAAAGATATTTTTGTGGGAGTTCATAGTTAGGGAATTTTGGTCAAGAATTGAAGTCAACATTATGTGTGTAGTGTGGGCATAGATAAGTGTACAGTAGACTACAATGCTGTTT